TTTTGGCCTCTTCGGGAGGCCCCGGCCAATTAAAAAAATATATCTTTTTTTTTTTTTTTTAAATATATTTATTTATTTTTGCGTGTTTTTTTTTTTTTTTAAAAATGCATTTATTTATTTATTTTGCACGGATGGCGGCGTCTTCTAGAACGAGATAGGCAGATTGGACCGAGATCTGGGCTTTGCATATATTTATTTATTTCTAACCCCCCCCCTTCCCTCCTAAAGTCAGGCTGAGAACACAGGCATGGCCAAATTCCCAAGGGATGCACCTGTTCTGCCTCTTCCCAGGTTGCTGAGAAAGGGAGGGGGGGAGTTTTGCTAAGAGAACCCACCCCCAACCCCCTTGCCAAAAAAAGAATAAAATGGCATTTTCAAAGGAAGAGAATGGGGGAAAGGGGTTTTTTTTTTTTTTTGGTGGGGTGGGCGGAGATGGCTGCTTAGATGCAATATAAGGCCTATTTTATTTTTTTTGCAAAAGAAGATTGAAGCCATTTGATTGGATCTGTTTCATATATTGGCTTATATTTTGCAGTATTGGGGAGGGAGAGAAAAGAAAGGCTCTTATAACCTTTTCCTCCCCTCTCCCTTCCGGCAGCTCATGCAAAAAAGCTATTTATGGCTCCCCCCCTCCCTTTTGCAGCACCATATTGGGCTGTAGGAAGACAAATTTATAATGAAACTCCTCAACTGCCTTGGAATAAAGTGGCTGGGAAGAAACAGGTTGGAAAATGGAGCGGAGTTGAATCATCTTTCGGGCGGGTGGATTGGAGATAACGGATGGCTTATGAATAAATCATCTTCTCGTAAAAATAGCCCTTGTCTTTAAGGATGACTTGAGCCGAAGGCTAAGCCATCTTTCTAAGTCTAGTCTTAGCCTTTAAATCTAAAACATGCAACTTTAGGTCAGGAGGAGAAGGTGCAACTAATTTGAACCCCCCCTTGTAAGCAAAGATAAGTGTTGGGGAAATGGGGTGCTGAAAGAAACGGTCAGAATGCATACTTTTCTCAGCTAACCTTGGGGTACATCCCGTCGGTTGCAAGCTTTTAGAAAGCCATGGCTTAAATTCAGGTTGCTTGGCCTAGTTCAGGGGTAGGAAACCTTGGCTCTTTTATGACTCGTGGACTTCAACTCCCAGAATTCCTGAGCCAGCATGGCTCAGCTTGGAAACTCTCCCTTCCCCCTCAGCATGGCTGGCTCAGGAATTCTGGGAGTTGAAGTCCACGAGTCATAAAAGAGCCAAGGTTGCCTACCCTTGGCCTAGTTGCTGTGTTGGATCCCTTCAAGTTAGGTTGCCTCCTTATTTGTCACTGAGGTCAAAAACGGGGTGCAGCTTAAATTAACCTTCCTCAGCATTCAGATAAGCAAGGGGTTCCCCTTTCTGCATCCTATCCAGAAAGGGAAGTGTGTTTTTTTAAAAAAGGAGAGGGGTGCTGTCCATATCAACCCAGCTTCTAAATTCAGGACCCCCAGGAAGCAAGGGACCCCCATTTTGTATTACTTTAGGACAGGGGTAGGCAACCTTGGCTCTTTTATGACTCGTGGACTTCAACTCCCAGAATTCCTGAGCCAGCATGGCTCAGCATGGAAATCTCTCCCTTTCCCTCAGCATGGCTGGCTCAGGAATTCTGGGAGTTGAAGTTCACGAGTCATAAAAGAGCCAAGGTTGCCTATCCCTGGTTTAGGACCAAGTTAAAACATTTTAGGAAGAGTAGTTACCTGATAGCAGATGGAAATGGATTGATCCCCCTGCATTTGGTTGTGGGGTGCTTTGCGCTGAATCACAAGAGGTCCTGTTTTCTCCCTTCTCTCAATATTCATAAATAACAAGATATTAGTATTAAGGATTTAGTGTTAAGCTTAGAGAACTAGGTCTTTGTCATCTTACAAAAGAATCTGTTGCCGCTTTTTATTGCCTTTTATTTGACCTCTTTCGCGTAGGCTACATAGCATAAGCCTCCAGACGTTCATTTTCCATTTTAGAAATTGTGTCAAACACGTATACTTTCTTACCTTTAAAGCTTTTGTTTATATTTTCACCTTCCCCAGTGTTTTTCATACAAATACCACCCCGCCCAGTTGCAATCTATATTCTGTATCCTATTGCTTATATTTTCGATGCAATAAAACAACTAAACTTGGAATGTGAAATACAGACAGATGGGGTGTCAGGTCTACTCATGAAGGCAGGAAAAGTTTGATAAAACTTTGAAAAGGGATCGATCCAAAATCCTGGATCTGAAAACCTGGCTGACATTTCACAAACAATAAATGTAATGCCTGAGGAAGAGGCTCACTGTTGGTATAACACACACACACACACATACATAGACGGACACGGGTTTTGTTGCCTGTGGAACCCAAGGCTTGGCAGTATGGTGTTATGTGGCTCTGTGTTGTGTTCTTGTTGCTCCTGACAACAGACCTCCTGATCGCCTCCTCTTCTCTTTGCACACAGCTTTTCTTCGCAGCCGCTGCTCCACTTTTCCACCCTTTTGGCTATAATCAGCCCCCTCCCCTGCCCGCCCCCGGTAAGCCCAGGCCTCGGCCAAGAGAGGAAATATGGGGAAGGAAAAGACCCACATCAATATTGTGGTCATTGGACATGTAGACTCTGGCAAGTCCACCACCACCGGCCATCTCATCTACAAATGTGGGGGCATCGACAAGCGGACCATCGAGAAATTCGAGAAGGAAGCCGCAGAGGTAAGACGAGGGG